AAAAAAAAAAAAAAAAAAAAAACTTACAGCTTGCGTATTTTTTGGGATAGAAGAATGGAATATATAGATTACAGCAGGAATAAAACATATTGTTTGATTTGGATGAGTTTTAAAGACTTTGAAGAAAGGAAAACTCCTATTTAGTTTGACTAAAGATCTCTCCTCAATTCACACGTGATTTGTTGTAAATATGGTATAAATAATATGTATTTAACTTATTTAAAAAAAAAATTAATCAACTTTTAATAAAAAAATTTATATATTTAAATAAAAAATTGAAAAAATTATGTATAACCGGTTGGAAGATTAAATTGTTATAGTTTTTTTTTTTTTTTTTAAAAAATATATCATGATTTCACATTGTTTGGAAGATTCAACTTATTTAAAATCATAGTTGACGGTATTATTTTTCAGATTTTTTGTAAGATAGAAATGTTGCATTAGAATGAATCCGGTTGGACGATATTGTTGCATTTTAAACAGTAAGTCAATAAGAATTCATATTTTAAACTCTTTGGCATAAATTTCGCAACAACAATTAAAGAGCTCTAATTAAGGAAACCGAGTTGCAACTGATTTTGAAGCTATAATTACGGAACCAACAATTAAATAGCCTTTTTTTACTTATTTACAATTACCCAAAATTACTATATATAAGATATAATTAATGATTTGGCGGGAAAAACTTTCTAAATTTATAAAATGATAAATCGACATTTTTATTTTATATTTAATCTGAACACATACCCATATATGGAATGACATAATATTTGGGTTGGGCATTGATTGAATGCACAAAAGCCCACATTAATTGGGTTCATTCTGAACCAAGAAATATTGATAAAGTCCAAAACTAGTGCCGCTATTTAATCTGATTTGTTTGCGAAAACGGCTCGATTCAGTTCGTTAAAACTCAAACATGTGTCATTTTTTTTTTTATTTAAGCGAGTTAACCTCTAATAGTCAATTGAGTTTATTTTACAAAATGAGTCAAGTTGAGCTTGTTTAAAATCAACTTAATTATTTTCGTAGGCTTTGGACGAATAGTCGAATCAAATATATTCACGAACAATTCATATATAATTTAAATTTATTAAATGAGTCAAATTTATTTCTTATGAGCTTAAACCATTCGAGCTCGAACAAATTTAAACTTATTGAGATGAATTGACTCGCTTAGTGAGTACTCATTCGATGCATGAGCTACTCAACTTAATTGTACTTGAATAAAACTCCTACCGAAACTTTACAGTTATTTTTTATTTCACTCCAAAACACCAATAACCGAAGTTTGTGCTTTCAAATTTACTCAATTATTGAGGAGTGTCAATGTCAATAATGGATGACAATTGATAAATATGCCACCTCTAGAGAAGAATTATATGTATGCTTTGTTAATTAAACGTCTTAAATTCAAAGTTTTGCGCCGAAACACCACTCAATCAAGCTCCATACTCATAGTATGGCATGCACAGCCTCTAGTTAGCAATCGTATTTAATTATTTATTCATATTTTCATTTTAATTATCAATATATATTAATGCAAAGTCTTTACAGTATTTGAACTCACATTAATAAAAATAGTTACATCTATTTTATAAATAGAAAAATAAATTCATGCAGTTGATACTAATTAATAAATATAAAATTATTATCAATCTATCGACTGACAGCAGTATACAGTCTTATAATACATGTGTTAAACTAATTTTAATTAAAAAAAAAATTATATGGTCCGTCCGCCTAATAGACTAGTATTATATATATTAAAATTTAAATTCTTATATTCCTTCAATTCAATAGCTGTTAAGACTTAAGTGGTATAGTTTCTGCATTTTTCAAATTCAGATGTCAAAAAAAAAAAAAAAAACACGTTTTAATAGTCAAATATTTGAAATATTGGAATTATCCTTTTATTATTATTTTTCTAATATACTGGTTAACTAAAACATTTGGGAAATGCTACAATCTCATTACGGTACTATTCCGTCGGGTGTTTTAACCGTTGAATAAATGAATCAACGGTTAAAACACTCGACGGGATGGTAACTTAACGGGACCGTAGCATTTTCCAAATCATTTATTAGTTAATAAACATTTTTTTTTGGGGAACCATTTACAGTATTTGAATCTATGCCCAACTAATCTGTTGGTCGATCCAAATCGCATATTGGTGGTGAATTTTTCGATTTTGTGCGTTCACAAGACTCAAACCCGAGATTTTTTGACGTCCGTCCTCTCAATCTCGCCGCGATATCCTCTCTCTCTCTATACAAAGATTTTTGTCTTATGTTTTCTCTTCAGATTGAGTAGGTCATTGTAGATATACACTCCATTAATGTGCACTTTCTCTGTTCTCACACTGTGAAATCACAACAGCCAAACACAAACACGAACACACACTCTTTGAGGTAATAATGTGCTGAATCTGCAACAAAGTTGTAAGCTTTGCACCAGAAGAAGTGAAATCAGAGAGAGATGTTTCGATTTTTCATCCGAAAAGATGTCCGGAAGATTCTCAAGCGCAAGGACAGTGATGCCGGTGAACGAGGTTCATAAATACCCTTTTCCTGTTTGCACTCTTTTTTTTTTCATTTTACTTTTCGAGCATTACAAAATGTCGGTGCAGTTCTTGATTCTGTGGGTTGTGTTGTAGCTGTGAAGTAAAAGGGTAGAACAAGAAATGGGTCTGTCTGAATGTTTGCCTCTAATTTTTTCAGTGGAGAAAGGAATCTCTATTTGTTTATTCACATGTTCATGTCTGAAATTTCTTCAACTATCTTGATTTGACGCTGGTTTGGATTGAGTGTCGATGTTCAAAGCCTTTTACTTGGAATTCGATTGCTCAAGTTGTTCGATTTTTCATAAATTTTATGAGGGGCTTAATCAGAAAGATTGGATTTTTAATTCCTTTGGAGATGAATGAATCATTTAACCTGATTGAGAGAATATTGGGATGCTGCAAATTCAGAACCAGAGATGCTAGTATGTTCAAAATGTGTGTGGTTTTAGTTACTCTAAAAGCTCCCGGTGCGATTAGTCGAGAGCCAGAAAATCTGCTAGAAAAGGCTATTACAGCCTTTAAGAAAAATGGGGTTCTCTACTAGGTGAAACATGGTCTTTCCGCTGGAGCTTTAGCATTAATGCTTATCGTACTCAGTTGCCGTAGCTAACTAAGAATGCTATTCTAATATGAATAACAACAATACGGTTAAAAGTAAGTCTTTTCACTCCTCTGAGCAAGATGACTAGATTAAACTGCGTCTTTTCACTCCTCTGAGCAAGATGACTAGATTAAACTGCTTCTTGTGTTGGACATAATCTACTTACCTAGAAACTCAAAATAAAATAAAATATATCTTGTGACTGATGTGGGCTTGGATATATAGCATCTTTGCTGTAAAATCGACAGAGATGAAAATCATGAAATAGATCTGTTAATCTATTTACAAATTTGATAAAAAAAATAAAATAAATTGTTCTGCCTTAAACTTAACAAGGAATGAAGGATACAAGTCTGGGTAGAGAGATGCAGGATTCGAGAGGGTTGATTTGAACAAATTGGGTCTTTGCATTTTGCAAACCATTATTTAATTAATATTCAATTGGATCTTTTCCCGTATTCTCAATCTAGCTAGCTGTTTCATTTATGAATTTACAGAGTTTGGTAACTAAGTTATGCTTCTCCTGCTTCGGCTATTTGCACGTATGATCAAAATCTTCTAACACGGAACTGCACAATATTTGTGATTGTTCAGTAGGACTTTTTTGGGCACGTAATAGTATGATTTTTGATATTGTAATCTGCTTCTTTTCAAACTTTTAAGGTTTACATATCGGCGCAGATGTTTTTATTTTTTTATTTTTTTTTTCATATCTTGATTTTTTAGGTAGAGCCTTGGAAGAGCTACGTGCTTCAATGTTTAACAAACTACGTTCGGTCACTGGTCCTAAGCGCCAAATGCAATCTCTGTGGGGGCCCACTGTTGCTCTTACATTTAACTTCTTGGTCTCAGTTACTATTATCTTGATGAACAAACTGGTAAAACATGTTTCTCTTCTCTATCCTCATAGCAGAATCACAAAATACTATTGGTTCTCACCTTCTTTTTTTTTTTTGAATGTTTTGTTGTCTTTCAGGTACTTGTCAATGTAGGATTTAATTATCCGATTTTCCTAACTTTTATTCACTACGTATGTAGTTGGTTTATAATGGCACTTTTAAAAGCTCTGTCCATTCTCTCCCTATCTTCTCCACCCAAATCGACAAAATATTCTTCGTTGTTCTCTCTGGGTATAGTCATGTCTCTCTCCACTGGCCTTGCGAATGTCAGCTTAAAATATAACAGGTAAAGGCATTATTATTCTCCCTCTTATTTAATTATTTTGCTTGTTTATATGCTTTGTTATATATAGCACTCTAATAGTGCTTACTTTTCTTTTCCAGTGTTGGATTTTATCAGATGGCCAAGATTGCTGTGACCCCCGCCATTGTTTTATCCGAGTTCATTCTCTTCAGGAAAAAGATATCTACACAAAAGGTAATTAATTAACTATATTCGTGCAAACTTTATGAGTACATACATTCATATATACTAAAATCATCACTAAAATTGGTCTCTACACGTTCGATAGTTGACCCTTTTTTTTTCCAGGTGCTAGCCCTTACTGTCGTGTCAGTCGGTGTTGCTGTTGCAACCGTAACCGACCTTCAGTTCCATTTTTTCGGCGCTTGCATAGCCGTAGCATGGATTGTACCTAGTGCAGTAAATAAAATACTTTGGTCTAATCTTCAACAACAAGACAACTGGACTGCCATGGCGTAAGTCACGTGCTCCGTTCGTTTTTTGGCTACTAATCATAGAAAACCACTCGGAAGTTTTAATTTGTTCCATGCATATGTTTTTTTTTTTCTTTTTTTTATTTTATTTTACAGGCTAATGTGGAAAACAACACCCATTACTTTATTTTTTCTGGTGATGTTAATGCCATCATTAGACCCTCCCGGAGTACTGTCTTTCGACTGGAATTTACATAACAGTGCAATTATTGGTGGATCTGCTATTCTCGGATTCTTGCTCCAGTGGTCTGGTGCTCTAGCTCTTGGGTACGGTACACATCTTATCTACTTTCAGTTTCAGCCCAAATTCATAATAGTCGAAAATAATTTCTTAAAAAAAAAAAAACGACAAAAGAATCTGAATCAATAATATGCTCGAAAATGGCAAAAGGTCTCCGACGTTTTAATAAATTGACTTTTAATGCTTTTTTATATTTCACGGGTTTAGGGCAACCTCTGCAACCACCCATGTTGTTCTAGGACAGTTCAAAACGTGTGTCATACTTCTCGGAGGCTTTTTCCTCTTCGGTTCGAATCCAGGCTCGACGAGCATTTTGGGAGCCGCTACAGCTCTAACCGGCATGTCATTCTACACGTACCTCAATTTGCGGGGCCGCCAGCAACAACCGGCTAAAACACTTTCGAGACAACCGACTTTGCCTCTGACGAGATCTAAGCTCGGCAAAGAAAGCGGGGACACATACGCGAAGGTGGACGAGAGCTTGTCCAATAATATGCAGGCTGAAGATAGGCCCTGATGGGGATATTTGTAGCTTATACTGACTTATATGAAGTTCTTTTTTTCTTGATAGGCCCTGAAGATGTAGTATTTTACTGTTTTAGTCTTGATAATTTGTGTTGGAGTATTTGCATTTGTTTGAGTACTTGAAGTGGATTGTGTTTTGTGTATATTTTGCAGCACATTTTTGTGAAGTTGATTATGTTAGGAATCAAGGTAGCTTCAGTTGTGTTTGAGTTGTGATCTCCATTTATGAGTGTTTTGTTCTCATTTATGGATTTTTTTAGGTGTTGGTTATGTCTTCTCTTGGTAGTCTTTGTTGAGCCTAGGCATGGACTTGGAGTTGGACTGGCCAAGTGGGTTAGAGACTTGGGATCAACCACTATTAGCAAAGTTTCGGCCCAAATTGAGTTGGGTTTTGGATCGGATTTGGATCCAATCCGCATGACCTTAACCAGAACCTGAAAATGGCCCAACCGTTTTGAGCTGGTTACGACGGCCATTAGTTGGCTGTTACAGACCATTAATGGTTGCCTAACCATGTGGGTGAAAGTCTTTATAGGACCTGTCTGGAGCTACAGAAGTATACTCATATTGTCATACATCACTTGAACTTTGACATTTAAAAGCCTCACGAATCATACATAGTGCCCAATTCTTGCTCCATTTAAGTTCGCAAGAGCTCAAAAGCCTAAAAGTGCTACATATTCTGAGACGTAGCCGTTTTATTTTTTAGGACGAGATGTCTAAATTCGTCAGCACATCACATGGTGTATTTTTTTTGCCGAAAGAGCAATTCTCGCCTCTAACTTTTTTCTCTTTCCATATTAAGTTTTCTTGTATTGTTATTTCCACAATTTGAGTAAAATCTGAAACATATTCACTTTATAGTTTTCCATAGTTTCCAGGTGTAAGTGTAACTCTACATTCAGTTTTATAATTAATTTTAATTCTCAATAAATCTTACCATATATTCATTTATAATCTAAAAGCCATTTCATTGTGCCATTAAACTAATTTCTCACTCACTAACTCACTTTTTTTTTTTCAATTAGATAACTTTTTAATCCAAATACTTATATCCAATCCCACCCTTATTGACTTGAGTAATTAATGAATATTAGTCTATTATCACTCACCCTAAACAATTAAATGTCAGAAAAAAATATATTTTCTCGTCAGGTAAAAATGTCGCACTTGTAAATGGTACTACGAAAATAACTATTTTAATCCATACTGAATTTCAATTTAATAGTACGATTTAATAAAAAAAAAGGGTACTACAATATTAGCAGCACATACCCCCAAAAAAAAACAAGATAGATAATATATGTAATTTTTTGAATTTAACTAAATAAGTACATTCACAACTGTATTTATAACATAATAATTATGGAAGGCGGTCTCGTTACGGAACCATCCCATCGAGATTTTTAACCGTTTAGATCAACTATCTCTGACGGTTACATGATGATTTAACGGTTATAAAATCCGACACAATAGTTTCGTGACGGGACCTTAGCATTTCTCATTATATGTAACATGCCTGATCAAATGACAAAAATGTCCCTTTGCCCCATGTACTAGACAATGTCCCACATGCCCTAAACTATTTCATACACATGGTATAAAATTTAAAAATTGAACATACACACATAAGTAAATAATTAAATATTAAACAGTACGTTTTTGCGACATCGTCTTCTGATAATCCAGATGTGAAACAATTTTATTCTTTTTCCAGATATTTTACTTTTGATAAAAATATATTTAACTTTTATTGTTTTCAATAATACTTCATTCATTTATTTATTTTGGTTTCACACAAATTATCTTTGTATTAATAAATTGATGAATGTCGGAGGAAGGATGACATGAAATAATTGGGATCATCAAGTTCCAAGGCACAATTTTTTAATTTGTCAATATATACATGGGAAATTGTTACGGTCCCGTTATGGAACCATTCCGTCGGAGTTTGTAACGGTTAGATCAACCATCTCCGACGGTTACATTATAATCTAACGGTTACAAATCTCGATATAATGATTTCGTAACGAGACTGTGTCAATCTCCCTATACATATATGTAAAAAAAAAAAAAAAAATGTGGTATATAATAGAAGCAAAACTCAAGTTTAGATCAATCAAACTGGCATATCCAACTCATTTTTTCTTGTTTGACTTTCCGTGTGACAAGATCTTGTCGTTAATTAAGAATATACGAATTAATTAAATATAATTGATAGGAATAATCAACTTGTTTAACTTTCTAATTAACATGGTGTATGGGTCAGGTTTGTTTTTATTTTTATCCTTTTAATCAACTTCTCCAAACGAACTCACTAAATCAAGGAGAAATGCTATGGTCCCGTTACGAAATTATTCCGTTGGGTTTGTAACCGTTAGATCATCGTGTAACCGTCAGTGATAGTTGATCTAACGGTTGCAAAACCCCAACGAAATGGTAACGTCTAAAACAAAGTAGATTGATGCTAATTTAATCATTTATTGCACAATACCCGGATAAAACCATACCAAAAAAA